CATCATCATCATCATCATCATCATCATCATCACCCTCATCACAATCATCATCAATAACCCATAGCCCGGAGCAACGACCTCTGTGACGAGTGTGTTGGGATCGGCTTTGCCCCCATCATGGGCTCGTTGCTTCACCGCCACCGCCGGACGTACGTCTCTCTCCCGGGCTGGAGATGAGGCCTCTGTCACATGGCATGACGGACACTATTGGTACTTTTTTTTCATGAGGATGGTTGAGGATCACCACTGGTAGTTTTCGTTTCTTTCTTTTTCCTCGGGTATTTTTTTGTTTTTCTTCTTTTTTTGTCTTACTTTTTCTTAACCTTGAATAACCTGTGACATGATGCCAATGAAGTTCGTTTTACTCACTGAATACAGAATTTTAAAACAAATATTGGGTAAAAGAATATTTAAGCCCTCTTCATCGTGGCAGAAAAAAGTAGAAAAAGGTAGTGAAGTTTCGAGTAAATATGGGTAAGTAAATGTAAACGTAAAAATATATTCAATTTAGACATTTTGATTTCTTAAAGGGGTCCACCTTTCGCCTTGATGGCTTTGTCACCATCTTACAGAATGGAAAAACAAAAATTGGGTAAAAGTAAACTTAACCCCCTCTTTGTCATGGTAGTTAAAAAAAAGTTTGAAAAAGAAGTGAAGTTTCGAGTCAATATCTGCAAGTGAATATAAACGTTAAAAATATTTTTAAAAGTTTATTTCCAAAAGAAGGCTCTAAATTTCGCCTTGATAGCCTTTTCCCCATCTTATCATTTCCACCACCATCATCATCACCCTCATCACAATCATCATCAATAACCCATAGCCCGGAGCAACGACCTCTGTGATGAGTGTGTTGGGATCGGCTTTGCCCCCATCAAGGGCTCGTTGCTTCACCGCCGGACGTACGTCTCTCTCCCGGGCTGGAGATGAGGCCTCTGTCATATGGCATGGCGGACACTATTAGTGGCCGGACAGAGAGAGGGTTATTCAATATCCCCTTCGGTTTATGACTGTTTTTTTAGAGTTATGTCCCTTCCCTCCTCTCCTC